GACAAGTGCAACAAAGAATGAGCAATTTTTGTTTTTCCATGAGCTCCATTGCTTTAAAACAGTCCAAATCTAATTCTGGCTCATTAGCAAACCTCTGGAGTACTTCTGTCTCGTACTGCAGACACAACCTCCGAGACTTGCCTGTCTCGTGTGTGAGACAGCATCTTTAATTACCCAGGTAACAGCCAGATGCTCCATCACTCTGGCAATGGCAGTGATTAAAAGCAGTAAAATATTCATTTCAATCAGACACCCACATACCAAATATATAATTAATGCACAACGGAAGGGCACGGCAATTTTTTACCACTTCCACATACACACATACACATTTCCAACACCATGCTCCCTCTACACACTGCGGCCAGCTGCTGTGTGTGTGTGTGTGTGTGTGTGTGCCAAGGCAGGTCGAAGAAATGGAACTGTGGATCAGCCACGCCATCGAGCAACACTCCGCAGGGAGGTCAGAGGGCAGCCAGACTGCATTCTGGGACATAATTCAGCCACCTACACAGCAGATGTGTTGCGTTGCTCTCTCACAGCCCTGACTCTCTCTGGGAGTGTTTTTGTGCAGGAAACAGCATCTTGAGTTTGCTGTCTATTGTGTACTGAATTCTGCTTTCTCTGTGGTGGGTGTTCTGCCTTTACTGCTCCTTCTTCTACTTTTCAACTCTGCTCTGCTTGTCAGTACCTTGAAATACCTGCAAGCAGTTTGTGAGAGGTCTCAGAAGTAGTCTTATGTCTCTAGTGGGTGGAAGAATATACAAACAAGACAATCTGAGGTGGATTTACAGACATAAAGACATCTGATTTTTAACTTGCTTTATGTTGTGTGTGAATAGCGAAACCACACAGAATAAGACTGTCCCATCCAACACTGAGCCAAACTATGTTAAAAACCAAATGTTTCATAGTAAATCACACCAAAAGATGCCCCCTTTAACACACTTGAAACAGTCTTTTCTTTTCTCCTGTCAATCCCCACAGTTCCACACTGACTATCTTTGTCTATTCTATTTCTGTCCTTTCAAACCTTCTGACTGCTGTCTCTTTGTTTTCTTTGATTAAGCCCTCTGTCGCGGTATTGTTTAGACTCCAGCAGTAGGCTACAATTACTCAGCACAGTGTGTGTGTATTGTATCACACTCATTACAATTACCCCTGGGTGTGAGTGTGTCATCTGTTGCCTGTTCATGTTCCAGTTTCTCCCTGAGTGGTGAGGGAACTGCATCCAGATGCGTCAGCGTGCACACAACAATGTGAGCAGGAGACAGGACAGCAAAAGGAGATTCAGAAAAAGAAACGTGGATGTCGGTCTAATGTTATTCATTATATCACAAGATTGATCTTGTATTGAACAAGCAAAAACTTCTAACAGGTGGCAGACATTAAAAAGCAGTGCAGTGACGCTGACTGGTGGGAATCCTAGTTTCATTTGATTATGACTGGCTTGGTGTAATCCTCTCTGAGATTTCTAAACTTTCTATCTTTCTGATCAGCTGTGAGAGGCCAGCAAGGAATTTCCCCAGGAGCCTACGAGCAGTGAGCAACTGCAGGGAATGTTGCTACCACACATGCAAACACCCAAATGCAAACATGAACACTTCAGAAGAAACTGCCTCATGTATCAGTCTACATCACTGCTCATCTTTCTCCCGCTGTTTAATTGGCTGGTGTAATAGTGCAAGAGTTTTGATGTTCTTTACGGTGCCACAGGCTGATTGTTTACTATCTCACACATGCAAACCCATGATCAACGTACATTTTTGATCCATTTGGTCTTGAGCAGACATTTCAATGTAAGAACTCAAAATTTAAAGCTTTTTTTCTGCCTGCCACCTTGCAAACTGAGCATATTTTTGCTGAGATACTAATATGCACAAACGATTGCCTTAGATTTCATTACAATGTTTTGCATAAAACTAATCACTGGCTACTTAATATATTATACACGCAGACTCTAATAGAGCCCCTGTCTGCAGTGCAACAAAGCTTCCGTAGTCAGTGACATTGTTGATTACTGTTTTGTAAGCTGATATGGGCTCAGCAGTTAAAAAGCAAGGCATAAATACAATCATTGATTCCAAATTAAAACATAATAATGCCCTTTGTATTTCACAGGATAAGCAAGTGAACTTTTTTTAATGCTTGCACACATGTTGTGTTTCTATAACTTCAGAGGACTTTACTTTGACTGGCATTCATTTCCTGGAAACTTACCCTAACCTTTATTCTAACCTTAAACCAAGTCACTGCTCTAAAACTTAATGATTTACATTTTGGGGACGTGTTTTTCATCCCATTTAAGGATGCCAAGTCCCCACAGTGTGACTGTATAAACAAATTTATATCCGTACAACATGAGTAATCCCAGGCCACACACAGACACACAAAGATTACCAAGATACAGTATAAACCAAGCCTGCCCTCCCCTCTGCATTGTGCGACTGCTCAGTAGGATGCTGCTGTAAATAAGAATGTTTACTCAGTCGACTTGCCTTGTTAAATGAGATTTTACAAAATCCTGTGAAAGATTTCTCAAAGCTTGATGGTGGATACTGGCACTCCTGTGGAGAATGCTGAAAACCTGCAACCCAACATAAATTCACAACATTAAGCACCTCAGGCTAGAGAATTTATAAAAGTGTTGTGTGCAGGACACTTCTTTTCTCTCTCCTCTATCCACTCACCCCAACCGGTCGAGGCAGAAGGCCGCCCACCAAGAGCCGGGGTCTGTCGGAGGTTTCTTCCGTTAAAGGGAGTTTTTCCTCCCTGCTATCACCAAATGCTTGGTCATGGGGGATTTGTTGGGTTTTCCTTATTATAGTGTAAGGTCTAGAATTGATTATGTAAAGTGCCTTGAGACAACTATGGCTGTGAATTGGCACTATGCAAAAAGTTCCATTGAACTGAGGATAGACATCCTTTGTCTGCCATGCAAGCAGCCTCCAACATGCACATACAAAGTGCTTACTCACATTTATTGCAGTGTGTCGATGAATAATGCACATAATAACCTTACAATGTATGGAGGCTTCACTATTTCCCTGTCCAAGGTTATCCAATTAATGTGGCATCTTTGTATTCTCTAGGAATGGATAACATTCTCTGAAGTTCAGTCAAAAGAGTGTTGAGGGAAAGGTTAGGAGAAGCACTGAATATTTTGTCCTTTTCTATTAATTTTTTGCTGTCTTTTCCCACCAATTTTCTCCTACTTTACAATAACCAGCAACTTCTTTTTATGCTACCACCTCCGGGTCCACCCTCAACTGGCTGCCACCATGACCACGAGAGTCGCAGCAGCAACAAGTACTAACCCTGCGTGTCTGCCAAGGTGGGTGCTTTATATCTTTACCATATGTGCAGCCAGGGGCTAAGAAATGTAATAGAAAAGGATGAAAAGCCATCTAGTAGTAAATAGTCCAGCCTAGTCAGTACAAACCAGAAGATGTGAGATGTGAGGATTTAAAAGCAATACTGTATGTAACTTGTCAGTTTGTCGCCCCCTGCAGTTGCTGAGTGTAACTGAGTTGTACCCAACTCCTCACAGAGTTTGTGCGCATTTCTCTACAAACCAAAGCTGTTACTGACTGTGAAAGATAACAAAAGAATGGTAAAGTAATACTACAGGATTGTATATACATACAGTACAAATCTATCTATATATATATCTATATATATAGCTATATATATCTATATATAGATATATATATAGTTTTATTTATTGTGACATTGAAGATGAACACTCAGAATAAATGCATTTTTTTGGTTTGTTTGTTTTACTGAAATACTGCTTGTATTGTCTGATATTTTTGGAGTATGGATGTAATATGGGTGAAACGTTGCTGGCGTCATGATACAAGCTCATATTGTACATACCTGGGCATACCTTTAATTTATACCAGCTAGTTGAGATGGGCTTGTTAGACTGCATTCTTCAAAAGCTTTTTCGGCCTGACAGCGACAAAGACTGACCAAACTTTCTGCCATGAGATGAATTTATTTATTTGGGAGATGGAGGTAGATGAGTTTCTACATCTGGAAAAAACTACAGATCTTTGTGAGACAGGATGACATTAACAGGGTAACAGACTACACTGACATATTTCAATAATAACATAAGCAGAGATGTACAGTCTGCTGTGGTGGTGGTGGTGTGTTTGTGTTAGCAGATCTTTACAGCTAAGGTCTGGACAGTAGCTATTAGCAGTCAGTAACCCTGACAGGGTTCATTTTAGATCTAGCCAATGAGTAAAAGCCAGTCAAATATTTCCTCTTGTACTGTCTCTGGTTATGCTGTAGCTCTGGGGTGTGCTGTGTGGGGCACTTTTTTACATGCTTTGGCTGGACAGATCATAGCAATATAAATGTGTATCTGTGGGACAGATGTCCTCTGACTATACGTCGTACTACACGCTGCTATGTGTGTGCTTTAGTCCATGTCCTGTTGCATAGCTTGTTCACAATTGCAGTAGGTGACTATAGTGAGTGAGTAAGACCAAATTTTAAGTCCTAACTCTTGAGGGTGAGAGGACACAGTGCTCTCAACATGCAACTGGTCCATCAGGGTCCTTGCTGACTCTGCTCTGAATAAGATGTAGCTTCCTGCTAAGGAGAGTCAGCTTGGTCCACTAGTGGGTCCTCACAGCTCCAAAAACGTCAGCACAAATTTCCAAACTAGCATTACTGGGGTAGACTGACCACATAGTCACAAGTGATTACTGAAAATATATGAAACCCAATAAAAGCCCAGGGATTTGTCTCCACAGGTGTGAACAATACTGAGCTAGTGGAAGGGTATGGCCCATAAAGTGTTATGCAGTTCACAGGAGAGGTCTCTGGGACTGTGATTCAAAGTTACATAGTACAGTAACAGCCAATCCTAGCACACAGTGGCAATAGCAGAGATGCCATTCACCTTATTAGAAGTCAGTCTATCATTAAGATGATCTTGAAGCTGATTTTAATGTAAAAAAAAAAAGTTACATATTGTTGTTTTAATACTGAGCTGGTGATCAGCAACACATGCTATGGTCCATCCCCCTCATCAGGAGCAGGAAAATGGGTAGGTACAGCTTTCTTTGAAGCTATAACTGGGATTGGACCCTTGCTCTCTTGATCTAAATTTGGGGAAGCAGGAGGTGCAGTTTGGGCAAGCAGAGCTACAGGCAGTCCAGTGGCAAATGAGGTGGGGCAGGTGGGGCTTGTTTGCACCATGTGGCCCTCCACTCTCTTGATCCTTAGCTTTTTCCAGCAATACATGGACCATCTCAGAGAAGACAACGCGAGGGTCAGCAGCAGGTAAAGCGGGACAGCTGCAACTTTCCCTCAAATCCAGAGCCTGGACAGAGAGGCAAGACACAAAATACAAATTCTTCAACTACAAATTCTTCAACTACAATACTGAACTAAGTGTAAAGAAATAAGGAAAATGACATAATTTGAAATTCAAACTCATAGCTATATATACAGTATGTTCTGATTTATTACTGTAGACATAAAGTTCATTAAATACTACTACATGAAGTAGAGGGATGAATACGCTCCATGCTATATGGTTTTACTGGTTTAGTGGTGAGCCATTTGTTGTTTTTGTCTGCAGTGTGTAGAACAAGAAAACGGCTACTTGCTCTTTTTACTTTGTGACAAACAGATGTTGCATTAAAACACAGCTGTGAGCTGAAATGAATGTGAAGACAGAGAGGAGAATGTCAAGTGCCGGAGACAAACAGAGATACTGAGATAAACAAAATAGGACACCACAGGGAGAATCTACAGGAGAGTCTACAGCCAAGTTAGCAGCTCTGTGAGGCTGCACTAAGGCACAGCTCTGCTTGGAGCTAAATACTAACACATCTTACTTTAGCATGGCATCAAAATTTCCAGTATACAGAAACTACAGCTGAGGATCATGAGGACATCAACAGTTTTGAGGATATTTGGTCAGAAATCAAAGTAGTTGAGACATTTCAGTTTGGACCAGCTGCTACCAGCATGGCTAAAAATATGAATATCAATCCCAAACAGCAAAACTGGTAGGAAGTAAACACAAGCATTTGCAAGCAGTTACAGACATTCCCCCTGTCTGTCCCACACACCCACACACAAACTCCACACTCATTATTCTCTCACTTAGAAACTCCCACAAGACCATGAACACATAGATGTACTTAGCTTCCCAATCAAACAGCCTCTGCCTCTCATGCCACCAGTGGACTTAATGTGCTTTGCTTAAGCATGATGAGTGCACTAGTGGAGGTGGAGTACCCTGACAAGAGTCAGGTTAAGTAGCTGTGCTGCATGGAACAGTTTGTGTTGAGGAATGTATTACAGATAACAGGCCTGAAAGTTTTCTCAGCACACATGCAACGCAGGCCGATGAATCCTCCCAAACAACGGTCTTCATTACTTTGCTGCTTGTGGCCACAGCCTGGCCTCGACAGCAGCTTTTGCTGGAGGTCAATCTACCACACAGGGATATGATATGACACACAGGCACATGCAATACAAATAACACACACCCTCGCACAATGAACACATACATACTCAATGACACAAGCACTTGATGGAGAATTAGTGGTTCACCCATCTGTTCCTCTTTTGTGCATAGTGTGCTTGACAATGTATTAAAAGTCCAACTTATAGCAAAGATTCAATTAAATGCAGTGTTAATCTTTCTCTTTGCCTCAGATACAAACACACACATGTAAATTGCAATGGTGCTTTCCATAAAATTTGCTGCATTAACCGCTTGTTGATTTCCTTCTGGCTTTAAGATACCCTTGGCTGTCTCACCCCAGTATCAGCACAGTGTGTGAAACTGAGTTGTGGGACTAGCCCTTTTCTTTCAGGTCCTCAACTCAAAGCTTTTAAAACCTTTAGTTAAACAGATATCCAAGTCCCTGTGTGGCAAAATACGTTTTCTGTCTTCCTGAAACCCTGCATCTTTTCCTCTCCTCCCCAAGTCTCTCCTTCCACTTCTCATGTCTGCAGGTGGATATGCATCTCTCCAGACACTTCATTAGTTCCATTAAGACTCCTAAAGCTGCTTCTGTTTCTCCTAAACACCAGACAGGTGTAGGGCTCTCCTTTCACATCGGGATCAAAGTCTTACTTTAGAGAAACTGATGAATCAGCACTACATGTGTCTGTACCTGGGGTATGAGGCAGTCCAGCTGAGTGGATCTGTTTCTGTGTGATGGATGTGTGCAGGGAAGCTGGCATAGGATCTTCATTTGCTGCCAGAATACGGGGCCCACTTGCACATCTGCATACACCTGGGAGGGACACACACAGACCCTGTGCAATCACAAACACAGACTCAGTAGGGGTTTTCCATTATAGGAACTTACCGAAACATGTCAAGCTGAGTAACAGTTGTCACGGATTGTTTCCACTAAGGTGCGCCTGCTTTGGAGTTGCATTCTGGGAGCTAAATTTTGGAACCCCTCAGGAGGTAGTACTAAAATCAAGTACCAGGAACGCAAGAGGGAGGGGGTGTGTGCAGAGCAGTCGCTAGTGATTGATTAAATATCAATGTCTCTACACCTCAAGCATTAGCATTACATGCACCATGTGTAAACACAGAGCTTACTGCATGTGTGAGAGGGGTGCAGCCCCTCCCTCCTCTAAAAAGAGGCTGACAGAGAAAATACAGTGGAAAAACAAAGCAGGACGGTCTGCATCAACCCCAGAGGCTATGCTTGGTAATGGTTAAGAGAAGTACGGGGTGTATTGCTCGTTAGGTTTCAATAGTGGAAATGCAGCAAATGTGGCACATGTCTTGTGCTGAGATCCTCACCTGAGTTTAGTTTAGCTTGACAGCAGTTCCCCCTGCTGCCCAGCAGACAGATTACAGTGCTGAGAGCAACAGCGACCTTAGAGAAGTGTAATTTCATTAATGTCAACATACTCATTATTCTCTAGAGATAAAAAAGCTTGAAATGATTACTTAATTATTAGTCATGACCAGCAATTTAGTGTTGATTTTGATAAAGTTGGGGAGCTCAACTCAGTTTAAAAAACAATGGTCAAAGTTGGAGCAGCAGAGATATGCTAGTTTTTAGTGTCTTGTATGGGACAAGCTGCAAAAATTCTGTATTCAGCATTTCTTGTCATGCACTTCAGTAGCATCATTCATTACTCACCCACTTCTTTCAAACCCCGCTCTTAATATGCAGGGTTTCTGTTAAAAACTACTTAAAAACTATAAAGTCAAAGAACTTGATGCTTAATAACTCCACAAATAAAAATAAAAAAAAACTGAAAACAGAACAGAAAGAAAAAAGAACTCAAATTTTTAAAGTTCTTTCAAATTTGGAAATCTCCTCCAGAGCCACAAAATCTAGATGTAACCATTTTCACAGGCTGCATAGTATTCCTTGTGACAAGTAAACTGAAGTTCACCTGGCCTCGACAGCAGCTTTTGCTGGAGGTCAATCTACCACACAGGGATATGATATGACACACAGGCACATGCAATACAAATAACACACACCCTCGCACAATGAACACATACATACTCAATGACACAAGCACTTGATGGAGAATTAGTGGTTCACCCATCTGTTCCTCTTTTGTGCATAGTGTGCTTGACAATGTATTAAAAGTCCAACTTATAGCAAAGATTCAATTAAATGCAGTGTTAATCTTTCTCTTTGCCTCAGATACAAACACACACATGTAAATTGCAATGGTGCTTTCCATAAAATTTGCTGCATTAACCGCTTGTTGATTTCCTTCTGGCTTTAAGATACCCTTGGCTGTCTCACCCCAGTATCAGCACAGTGTGTGAAACTGAGTTGTGGGACTAGCCCTTTTCTTTCAGGTCCTCAACTCAAAGCTTTTAAAACCTTTAGTTAAACAGATATCCAAGTCCCTGTGTGGCAAAATACGTTTTCTGTCTTCCTGAAACCCTGCATCTTTTCCTCTCCTCCCCAAGTCTCTCCTTCCACTTCTCATGTCTGCAGGTGGATATGCATCTCTCCAGACACTTCATTAGTTCCATTAAGACTCCTAAAGCTGCTTCTGTTTCTCCTAAACACCAGACAGGTGTAGGGCTCTCCTTTCACATCGGGATCAAAGTCTTACTTTAGAGAAACTGATGAATCAGCACTACATGTGTCTGTACCTGGGGTATGAGGCAGTCCAGCTGAGTGGATCTGTTTCTGTGTGATGGATGTGTGCAGGGAAGCTGGCATAGGATCTTCATTTGCTGCCAGAATACGGGGCCCACTTGCACATCTGCATACACCTGGGAGGGACACACACAGACCCTGTGCAATCACAAACACAGACTCAGTAGGGGTTTTCCATTATAGGAACTTACCGAAACATGTCAAGCTGAGTAACAGTTGTCACGGATTGTTTCCACTAAGGTGCGCCTGCTTTGGAGTTGCATTCTGGGAGCTAAATTTTGGAACCCCTCAGGAGGTAGTACTAAAATCAAGTACCAGGAACGCAAGAGGGAGGGGGTGTGTGCAGAGCAGTCGCTAGTGATTGATTAAATATCAATGTCTCTACACCTCAAGCATTAGCATTACATGCACCATGTGTAAACACAGAGCTTACTGCATGTGTGAGAGGGGTGCAGCCCCTCCCTCCTCTAAAAAGAGGCTGACAGAGAAAATACAGTGGAAAAACAAAGCAGGACGGTCTGCATCAACCCCAGAGGCTATGCTTGGTAATGGTTAAGAGAAGTACGGGGTGTATTGCTCGTTAGGTTTCAATAGTGGAAATGCAGCAAATGTGGCACATGTCTTGTGCTGAGATCCTCACCTGAGTTTAGTTTAGCTTGACAGCAGTTCCCCCTGCTGCCCAGCAGACAGATTACAGTGCTGAGAGCAACAGCGACCTTAGAGAAGTGTAATTTCATTAATGTCAACATACTCATTATTCTCTAGAGATAAAAAAGCTTGAAATGATTACTTAATTATTAGTCATGACCAGCAATTTAGTGTTGATTTTGATAAAGTTGGGGAGCTCAACTCAGTTTAAAAAACAATGGTCAAAGTTGGAGCAGCAGAGATATGCTAGTTTTTAGTGTCTTGTATGGGACAAGCTGCAAAAATTCTGTATTCAGCATTTCTTGTCATGCACTTCAGTAGCATCATTCATTACTCACCCACTTCTTTCAAACCCCGCTCTTAATATGCAGGGTTTCTGTTAAAAACTACTTAAAAACTATAAAGTCAAAGAACTTGATGCTTAATAACTCCACAAATAAAAATAAAAAAAAACTGAAAACAGAACAGAAAGAAAAAAGAACTCAAATTTTTAAAGTTCTTTCAAATTTGGAAATCTCCTCCAGAGCCACAAAATCTAGATGTAACCATTTTCACA